ATAAATTTATTCTAGTATATCAATTAACAATAATAATACATAAAATTTAAAAACTAAACTAAAAAAAAGTAAGTTTAAATTTATAAAAAAATACATTACTAAAAGTATCATATTATATTAAGATTTTCATTATTTTCGTTAATTATAAATTTAAATGTGTTTCATAAATAAAATTATAAATTTAAATGTATTTTTACTTTTGATCCATCATAATAAAAATAAATAGTCTCTTATAAATATTGTTCTATTTTAATCCATCATTAAATTTGTTTTATATACGAATTTGATGACTTATCATATTATTAAAAATTTGGATGAAATAATTATGTATAATATTTTTTTAGTATATTATGTTTTTAAATTTTCTAATAGAGAAAAAGTTTCAGAATTCAAAATGTTAAATACTTTTAAAAATTAAAATTGACTTTATAAAAAATTAGAAAAAAAAACAATTAATCCAAAAATAAAATAATGATAAAAATATTATAAAAAAGAGTTCAAAAATGTATTTAATATTTTCAGTTTTAGTTTAATTATATTTTTAATTCTCAAAGAAGAAAAATATATTGTAATTATTTTAATTTAATAAAATATAAATTAAATTTTTAATACTAAAATTTAAATATTAAATAATAATAAATTTAATTCTTCAAATTTAGTATTTAAAAACTAAAATTATAATTTCTTTGTTTTAAAAAATAAAAATAAATATTTAAAAATAAAAATAAAAACTAGTATTATCTTAAATTTATTAAAAATATAATTAAATCTCTATTTTCTTATGCAATTTTAGAAATTTTTTAATAAAAATCCAATATATAAAAAAGTTGAAATTTTAAAAAGGTACAATCTTAATTTATATTAACTATTATTTTGAAAAAACTGACAAGAAAAACTTGGTTTTGAAAAAAAAAGTTAATAATTTTGAAGTTATTTAAGTGATGAAGTTTCCAAATGTGATTTATAAATTTATTGAGCAAAATTGGAGGTATGTTGAATATAAATTTAAATATATTTTTAATTTATTTAAATATGGTTTATTTTTAATATTTATAAAATAGATTAATTTTAAATTTTTAACTTTTCTAGCAGTCTATTTTTAATCTTTGTTATTAATTATGTTAAAAATGAAAATTATTAATTAGTATACTTAAACTAAAAAATATTTTAACTAAAGATAAATATATTTTTATTAATAATTTAATTAAATAATATATTTATTATCTAATGTATATTGATATAATTTTTTGTTTGATATATCAATTATATGACAACAACCATGGTTAAGTAATTAATAATAATAAAGTAATAAATTTAAAAATTAGATTAAAAATAAAGTATTATAAAATAAAATTGTAATAATTTGATTAAAATTGTAATTTTTTAATTAAGTTAATTAGGAATTAAAATGTGATAATTTGATGTGTTTAATTTTTTAATATAAATTTTTAAAATATAATTTAATTTCAATTGAAAAATAAATTAAAAAATATTTGTTATTAAACTTTTCTTAAATAATGTATTAAATAGTTAATATGACTCTAGTCTTAATTTATTACAATTTAAATTTTTAATAAATTTGATTTATTTTTAATAATTTTTTTTATTTTAGTAATTTAAAATTAAAATTAATCTTCATTTTGTTAATATTGAGACCAAAGTTTATTTTTAAAGTATATTTTAAAAATTAAATTATTTTTCAAAAATAAATTACTTTTAAAAAATAAATTGTAAAAAATATACTAAAACAATTAAAGTATATTTATAAAAAAATAAATTTAAATATAATAAAAAAATAATATTCATTAGCGTACCGATTTTATTTTGGTCACTATTTCAATTTGTAATTCGGTCGCTAAATCAGTCGCTAAATGATTTTTTTATTTTAGTATGGAATAGTCACCGATTTAGCGACCGAAATTTTGCGATGCAAACTATTGGTCGCTATTTCAGTCTCTAAATAAAAAAGTGAAACTAAATCATATTTCGGTGGCTAAATTGGTCGTTAAATTGCGACCGAATTAAATCGGTCGCTAAATCGGTCGCTAATTGCGACCAGATTAACGCGATCACTAAATCGGTTGCTAATTGTGACCGAATTAAATCGGTCGCTAATTGCGACCAAAATTAAATCGATCGCTAATTGCGACCGAAAAAATTAATCGCTAATTTCGGTCACTAAATGTGTTTTGTCTTGTAGTGTAAATAGATAAATTTTTATTAAAAAATATTTTATTTTTTAACAAAATTTGTTTTAAATAAAATACTCTTAAATTTATTCATTAAAAATGTTATATTTATATACACTAACTTTAAAAAAATTTAAGATTTTTCTTTTCTAAAATTGTACAAGGAATAGATGTCAAATATTATTTTTTTAATATGCTAATTAATACTAAATTATTCCGTAGTCTCGTAAATAATAACTATTATATAATATATTATTAATAAATAATAAATGAATATAAAAAAGTAAAATAAATATAAAAGGTTAAGAGGTCAACTTTGTAAATATATATATATATATATATATATATATATATATATATATATATATATATAAATACGGGGGCTCATAAAGCTTTGCCACTAACTCCAAAGATTAATCCATTTCCGTCCCGAGTTGATGGGGTGAGATAGGTTTCAGGTTTTTCTCACTTGAAAAAGTCGAGGTCGGAGCGAAGATAAATAATGTAATTCCCGCCCTGACTCCATCTCCGCCCATCCGTGACCCCGTCTCGTCTTGTCTTTGACCTAACTTTATATTTAAATTTAAATCCTAAGATATCAAGATTTTTAAAGTATTTCATTTTCTTTCTCACATTATTTATAAGATAATTTTTTATATATTTCACACCATTTATTTTTCTTTTACCTTCCTACTCTTTTGTCTTTTCCAGTATCTTAAATTGATCAATTCATTACATTATTTTTTTTCTCTTATCTTTTGTTTTTTATATTTTCTTAATATCTTCAACCAATTTGAATATTTTCAACAACTAGTTTGACAAACACAAAGTTGATTTTTATTTATATTTTTATATTTTTCTAAATATTTTACATCAATCTTAGTAGTAACTAGTATTATTTTATTTTTAGTTTATCTTTATTAAGTTTTATTATATCATATTTTTATTTTTATTATTCTTATTTATCATATATCAAATCTTATCTTAATAAACTAATTATATTTTGAAGAATTAAAAAAAATTATAATTGAAATTTTTATTTTAAATTAGTTAAATAAAAATTAACTTATTAAATATTTTCTTTTAAAATATATATTTTATATTTATTAACATTTTAAAATAAAAACTTAAAAAATAATTAATTTATACATATAATAATACAGTGTTATAATATATAATATAATAATAATAATATTATTATTATTATTAATATTATTATTATTATTATTATATTTTATATTTGTATAAAAGAATAATTAAATATTTATTTTACATATATTTTAATATAAATATAATAAATTAAAGTATATATTTAATTAATAATAATTAAAAATTATAAAATTTTATTTATATATAAAAAATACATAAAAAATTTAAATTAATTTATTATAAATATAATTATATTTTTAAAAATATATATAGAACCGGATAAAAATATAGAAATTCGAAATTCAACAACAATAAAAATAAAAACTTCATTTTTAACTCGATAACAATAAAAAAAAAACAATTAAAAAAAATCGAAAACAAAAATCCGGGACTCATGCCTATACTCACTTCAAAAACATATTGGTAATACAAGTTTTATAAAGTTTTGCTATGCTACAAACAGGAAGTTTTATAACTTTTTATTTTACTTTATTTACAAAAGGATGATAAAAAGTAACTATTTTTTTGTTGGGCAGACTATTTCTTCAAATATTTCCTTGTAATTTTTTTCTTAATTTTTTTTTATTTTTCTCCTATTTTACTTGTACTAAACTTACATCAACTTTTTAAATATCTATTAACAACTATACCCATAAAATTGTTATGACCTCAACAAAAAAAATCTAGAGACAACGAGGTGTATGTGAAAAAAAACTATTTTAGTTGGATTCAATCATTTTAGTTGTATAGATAGGTTTTATTTATTTTTTATTCTCAATGTCCTCTGTATTTATTAATTTAAGATAAAATAATTTATTTTTTATAAATATTATAATTAAGAGTTTTTGTTTTTCTAACGAAAAGATATATTTTTAAATCATACTCAAATCACATGTCCATAACAAATTTTATCTAGAGAGACGGCAGGCTACAAAGAGGGTCTTGATATTACAGACTATTACAGACTAATTAACCGTAATAAAAAAAACATGGTCAGTCATGTTTTGTTTAATGCATTTTGCATTCTGAGATTCAGTTTCAGAAAGACACTGAGACAGTGGGTATTTTGTTGTCATTACTTATTATCGAGAATAACAAGGTACTGTAGCATTAGAGTTCTCCACTCTCAATCAACAAAAGTCAACAACCCAACAAAGAAATATATATCGAGCAAAACAGTAATATTAGAAAATGATATGCAAATACAAAACTACAGTTAATAAAATTGATCAGTATTTCAAATTTTTTTTACCAGTGATTAATTTTAATGTGAGCACAATCTCAATCATCTAGAAACAAATTAATGCCTATTTTGTTGAAGTGTATCCGAGTTATATGTGAAGTGTATATAATAAGTAAGAGAATCACTCATTGTTGATAAATATATACGCGTATTAACTAGCAAATAAATATTAATGAACTAAATATATATTTAATAAAATGCGACAATTGTATTGAACAACAACTATATAAATGGATGAGTATATATGAACACATCGATTGTCTTCCTAATTCTTAAATTTAACCATCTTTCTGTTACATATATGATATGATATTATATGATGATTTGGACGAAGCATTGAAAAAAAAACTAACTAATTGAGCCATTAAAACATGAAACTAAGTGGTTTTAGACAATTATAGATTTGTGGTATCTAGTAATTATATCTTCTTCCTCTTCCTTGCAATATTAAGAAAAGCTTGCTCTACATCCATATCTAAATCCAGCTCAGTCAAATCTATGACAAATGGTTGCTGCTTTAAATCCCCAGGCGAGGACACCACTCCAGTTATTGTTTGCACAGTTGTTAACATTGGCATCCCATTGCTTGTTGAAGGGGACACCGAGCCAAAGGAATTTCCAAAAAAACCATTGGGTGATGCTGCAGTAATTGTCTCCCCGGTTGGGTCTCCATTTATGGACTGACAGCTGGCAAGTTCTGAAACGAAACTGGTTGTAGCAGTTTCTGATTCTCTTACCCATTCTGTGCAATGCTGCTCTTGGCTTTCTGGCTGACACTTCACACCTTGTTTGGGTGCTGGCCTTGTCGTTTTGCGGCCTCAGTTACCTCATGGTTTTTCTGTGTTTGGTGGCATACCTTCTGGTGGTGGCACCTTTGAAGGAAGAGAGAGAAAAAGATGTTAGTATTATGGTGCTTGATTTAGTCCCACATCGATTAGGATTGTGAGATGAGGTTCTCTATTTTGTTATATAAGCAACCCTATGTAAAGTTTGAGATATACACAGAAATAAAAAATACTTCCTAGTGTAGTCGTGGACGTAGGCATACATATTTTAGCCGAACCACGTTAAAATTCTTGTGTCGTTTATTTTTTCTCTCCTTTATTCTTTCCTTTATTATTGTCTTGTTCCCTTCAGAAGAATAAAACATGGTCTTTAACCAAGCTACCAGAAGGAAAGAAAGTTTTGCAAAACAGGTGGGTCTATAGGTTGAAAGAAGAACCAGATGGCAGCAAAAGATATAAGGCTAGACTCGTAGTGAAAGGGTTCTAACAAAGACAAGGAATTGACTTCACAGAAATTTTCTCTCCTGTTGTCAAGATGACTACCATCAGAGTTATCTTGAGTATAGTAGCTGCAGAAAATCTTCATTTGGAGCAGTTAGATGTCAAAACTGCATTCTTACATGGGGATCTTGAAGAGGAAATTTTTATGACACAGCCAAAAGGTTTTGAAGTACAAGGCGGAGAAAATCTTGTATGCAAGCTTCATAAAAGTTTGTACGGATTAAAACAAGCGCCGAGACAATGGTACAAGAAGTTTAATGAGTTTATGAGAAACTCAGGATTTCGCGAGATGTGAAGAAGATCACTGTTGTTATGTGAAGAAATATGTTGATAGCTATATCATTCTTGCCTTATATGTTGACGACATGTTGATTGTTGGAGCTAATATGGCAGAAATTGACAAGTTGAAGAAACAATTGTCAGAGAGCTTTGAAATGAAGGATCTTGGTCCAGCCAAGCAAATTCTTGGTATGAGAATCTCCCGAGATAGAGATAAAGGTATTTTGAACTTATCTCAAGAAAAATATATAGAAAAATTGCTTAGCAGATTCAATGTTGGGAATGCTAAAACCAGGAATACACCTTTGGGAACTCACTTAAAGTTTTCAAAGAGGCAATCTTCTCAAACAGAAGAAGAAGAAAGTCACATGTCTAAAGTGCCATATGCATCTGCAGTAGGAAGCTTGATGTATGCTATGGTTTGCACCGGACCGGACATAGCACATGCGAGTGGGAGTTGTGAGCAGATTTCTATCAAATCCCGGAAAGGAGCATTGGGAAGGAGTGAAGTGGATATTCAGATATTTGAAAGGCACTTCAAAGATGCATTTGTCTTTCAAGAGAAGTAATCTCATTTTACAGGGGTTTTCCGATGCGAGACTTGGGAGGTGATCTTGACGGTAGAAAGAGCACAACAGGTTATATTTTTACATTGGGTGGTACAGCTATCGGTTGGAAGTCTAAACTTCAAGGAAGGGTCTCTCTCTCAACCATCGAAGCGAGTATGTAGCTATCTCGAAGCAGCGAAGGAGATGATATGGTTGAAGAACCTTCTAAAGGAATTAGGAAGAGAACAAGATGGTTCTCCGTTGTTTAGTGACAATCAAAGTGCTATTTGTCTTGCTAAAAATCCAATCCTTCATTCCAGATGTAAGCACATTGAATTGAAGTATCATTTTATCGAAACCCGATAAATGATGGAGACTTGAGTTTGTTGAAGATTCCAGGTGCGAGAGAATCCCGCTGATATGTTGACCAAGACTGTTACAACAACTAAGTTGAGGCTTTGCATTGCCTCAATCGGCCTTCGAGCAAATTGATGATGAAGGCACTACACTAGGTGGTAACGTAAATCAAACTCCAAGTGGGAGAATTGTTAGTATTATGGTGCTTGATTTAGTCCCACATCGATTAGGATTGTGAGATGAGGTTCTCTATTTTGTTATATAAGCAACCCTATGTAAAGTTTGAGATATACACAGAAATAAAAAATACTTCCTAGTGTAGTCGTGGACGTAGGCATACATATTTTAGCCGAACCACGTTAAAATTCTTGTGTCGTTTATTTTTCTCTCCTTTATTCTTTCCTTTATTATTGTCTTGTTCCTAACAAAAGAAAGATATATATTTATATATAGAGAGAGGAGAGGGAGTGAAGGGTGAGAGGTGGGAAAGGTTAGATGAGTTTGGGTTTCAATTGAATGATTTCATGCAGGTTGGAAGAAGAAGAAGAAGAGGGGCTTGAATCATGATGGAGGCTTGTGATAGTCATCAAAGAGGGGGATTGAGAATTGGTAGATGGAAGGATGAATGATATGTGTGTGTGTGAATGAGGTGGGTGAAGTGGACTTTTAAAGATATCAGAAAATATAGAGATAGACATACGTTTAGACAAGACAGATCTCACTAGAGAGAGGATATCGATATCATGTTTATTGAGGAGAGAGAGTGATCGAGATTTAGAGAGACAAAGTAAACGTAGGCAGATGATGCTAAGTGTTATGGCAATATAATATAATGAGATCTACCACTCCAAATATTAGCAAAAATTAGGCACAATTTAAGCTATTAATTCATAGCGTTCATTTTAATGATGAGAGATGTGTATTGGGATTTGTTGAATAATATCAAGACAATTACTTTATCCCACAGTTTTCTAATACAATTTTTTGTCCTCCATACCACTGATTTTATTGGGAAAATTTGCTGTAAAGATGGTATTTCACAAACACTAATCAATGTAGTCAGCTAAACATTACTTGTAAAAATAAGAAGCTTCTTACTTAGCCAAATGTTAATTAACAGTTGTTTTAACAACATTAATAAGGAGATTGTAATAATATACACTCCAATGTAATAATTTAATATATAAAATATTCTATTTATTAATTTTTTTAATATGTGCATTAATTAACATAGGTAATTTAATTAATACTTGAAACAAAAATATTCATTTTAATAGTTATTATATTTCAAAAAGAAATTACGTTATATTTCTCAACGGCAAGACATTCATTAGTGTATCTTCACTTATAGCCTAAGTAATTATTTATATACTTGGTGTAAGTAATTTTTTGTTACCATTATTTAATAATATTTTTTATATATTAAATCATGATTTTTCTTGACAATGTAATAAAATTTTTAGAAGAAAATTAAACCATTTAAGAGTAGAATAAATGAAATTAAAAACGCGTATTTGGATAATAGGAAAAAAAAAACGCGCCTAAATAATTGAATCTAACGCAACATATTTTCTGTCTTTTGAACCCTTACTACTAGCTTAAGCTTTTAGCTAAGTGGCTAACGCTGCGCGCTCATCCTTTGGTATCAGAGCGAGGACGCGCACTCGATTCCTGCCGAGGACGGAATTGGGGCAGCGGGTGGTAAGTCCCCACGAGATTCTCGAAGAGCGGGGGAATCAGAGTCGCGGAAGCGTGGTGGAACCAGGGGCTAAGTGCTAAAGTGTGAACCCTTACTACTAGCTTAAGCTTTTAGCTAAGTGGCTAGCGCTTGGTGCCAAACTCTTGGTATCAGAGTGAGGTCGCGTGCTCGATTCCTGCCGAGGATGGAATTGGGGCAGCGTATGGTAAGTCCCCTCGAGATTCCCGAAGAGCAGGGGAATCAGAGTCGCGGAAGCGTGTGGGACCAGGGGCTAAGTGCTAAAGTGTGAACCCTTACTACTAGCTTAAGCTTTTAGCTAAGTGGCTAGCGCTTGGTGCCAAACTCTTGGTATTAGAGCGAGGCCGCGTGCTCGATTCCTGCTGAGGATGGAATTGGGGCAGCGTGTGGTAAGTCCCCTCGAGATTCCCGAAGAGCGGGGGAATCAGAGTCGCGGAAGCGTGGTGGGACCAGGGGCTAAGTGCTAAAGTGTGAACCCTTACTACTAGCGCTTGGTGCCAAACTCTATATACTGTAAGTAAATCTATAAATATTTTACGAACAGATAACGTCTTCCTATCTCTTTTACGAACAAATATTTTAGTTCAAATCATCATGCACAAGATGATTAAGTGGTAGTCATTATTTGTATATTTTGTTAATTAGACAGTAAAGAAAACATTAATAGATCAAGGAAGTTCAACTCAAATATTCTATTAAACCACCTTTTTGAAGATGAACATTTCACATTATTTGATATAACCATATCTTGATTCGTTAGTTTGATTTGTTGGAGAAAAGGTTCATACATATGGATATATCGATCTGTTGACAACTTTTGGAAGTGACAAGGAAAGCAAAAATCCCTGATAAGATATATATATTAATAAAAGATATCATTTCTTATAATATATTGATAGGAATAAAGACGTTAAATAAGCTCAAAGCCATGGTTTCTACTCCACATATGATCATGAAGTTCCTTATTGAGGGATGACACATAGTAACAATTAAAGCAAATTCTAAAGAAGCAAGAGAATGTTATGCACTCAACCTTAAAACTCGATCCTACTCTTTAAAGCGAGTGAGAGAAGATTGTTTCTAACAAGCATTAGTCACTAACATTGAAAAAGTAGATGTTGATCCTCAGTATGAGACAAAAGACAATCTCCTGAGCTTTGATGAGTCAATATCTGACTTTCAACTCGGGTTACATATGGGAAAACATATATGGGAAAACATTAATAGTCGGCTTGAAATTGATAAAAGAAATGAGAGCAAACACATCTTCACTACAAAAGTGATTCTAGACTAATAACTGGTCAAGTCAAGAGGGATTTCCAAGCTAAGGAACCTTTTATGCAGAAGTTTTATCATATAGCTAAAAATTTAATAGATGATTTTGAAAATTTGAAATAGAGCATATACCTAGAGAGAAAAATGATAGAGCATATATTCTTTCTAAATTGATGAGTACAAAAAAGTTCGGTCAAAATAAAACATTACTTCTAGCAACATTAAGAACACTGAGTTGAGATCAAGAAGATGTTTTTCATATCAATGCTACAAAAATAACATGGATGACACCTATAATTAGGACTATCAAAACGGGCGGTCCAACCTGACCTGGTAGGACCCTACAGGTCAAGTAAAAAAATAAAATCT